TATATATGTATGTATATATATGTATATATATATATTTGTGTATATATATACATATATGTATATATGTATATATATATATAGCTTGGATTGCTGTACCGGCCGATACAGATATCCATCCAGTGCCTTCTTTTGTTCCCCAGCATGCCGCAGGCTGTCGTTGCTGAGGCGATAAGTGTCCCTGTTTACGACATGTCATGAAAAGTTAAGTTGAGCTTAGAGTTCATAATTTACTTAAATTGAAAAGAAGACGGTCATTTGAAGATAATCCGTCTCAGTGATCAGCGTGTAGCCACCGGTCCACCCGTAACAGCCAGTCCCGACCTACTGGCCCTTGTTACAAAAAAGGGTTATTTCACCTATGCTGTCTTATATATTTGAATTGCAACAGTTACTCTGTAGTGATTTATTTTTCTTGTTTATAAAGTGTCTGAGACAAAAATTTCAAAAAAATATAAGTCCAGTGTCATTACAGAGCATGCTTTAATCCCAAACGTTGTGCATCATTTTCATATAAATCCCACAGAGACACAAAAGCCACTAAGGTCATGTCAAAATTTGCATTATGCGCACTGTTAAACACTATTCTAAAGGTATTAAAGGTGTTTTTTATTCCATTTTAGAGAATATTTTCAAAGACAGGCAAGCTCCACACAAGAATGCCAGGAGGGTACAACCCAGTGACCTTCATGCTTGCATTAGTGCTAAAATATAGGAATTTATTTTATAATGAGAAACAAAGCATATACCGTATTTTCCAAACTATAAGACGCTTTTTTTTTTCATTCTTTGGCTGGGTTTGCGACTTATACTCATGTGCGATCTATATATTAAAATACATAATTTCACATGTTTGTTTATTTTCACACTGACAGCCCCTAGAGGGCACTCTAGCTGACTTGTGCGACCTATAGTCCGGAGAAACTATTTTTTTTCATTATGCATTTTTGGCTGGTGCGACTTATAGTCCGGAAAATATGGTTGTTATACATACCTTATTTTCAACCTAGCTTTTCAACATAACAACTAAACTAAGTTGGTGACTCACAGCTCGTGGTTCAGCTTACGTTCCTAGGCTGCATTATGTCCTCCTCTCTCTCTCTCTTTTACACTTACACATACTGTACCACAATACATACAAAAAGTACTTTTCAGGCTTTGTATTTCACTCCATTTCTTTTCAAAAGACAATGCTGTCAGGCAGCGAATGGTGAGGCAGGTCATTTTACAAGCGTGCCTCCCTCAGGGGCACTAATTCTGACAATTTGTCCAGTCCATGGCATCCGGCAAACCATGCTTTAGTCCCTAGTCTCGGTTCCACGTCCTCTGTTACACCAAACAGGATTCAAGCAGTAGAAAAAAGGGGGAAAAAAAAATATGAATAAATGAATGCATAAAATTGTCCATACTGACAATAAAAATGAAAAAAAGAAAGATAAAAATAAATGGAATCAAAATTTAGAAAATAAACATAAAAAATTACCCCAATTAGCCATATTAGATAGAACGTAAGCAATTACAAACTTGGAATCAAAATTTAGAAAATAAACATAGAAATGACCCCAATTAGCCATATTAGATATAATGTAAGTGTAAATATTAATGCTAAACTTTATTAGCTATCCGGTGGATCGCAGCCTCCCTTTTTCTCCTGGCATTTGCGGTAATCTCCCAGATTTGCTCCTGCTGTGATGACGACTCAGACTGGCAACCCAGGAGCTGCTGAAGACATGGCTTTTTCAGATTCTTTGATGGAACATCGTGAGCGCTGCGTTTATTTGCTCCTCAGACAGATCGTCATCTTCATCCAGCAGACTCGGGTCTTCAAGAGTTTGAGAAAAATTCAGCTCCGCTACAATAGTCATGGTTTTGTCGTCGCCTGACTGCTCCAGTGTTCTGATGTTGACCGCTACATTCTCAGGATGTTCAGCGCTCACTTTGGTGAGGAATTCTAACTCCTCCTTCAGGGGTCCAGTAAGTGAGCTTTGAAGTTTCTCCAAAGCTCCCTTTAACTGTTCCTTGGGCTTCAGTGAGCCTTCTCGTAGGATTTCAAGCACTGACTTCTGCACCACCGGGGAAACACAAACCTCCTCTTCGATAACACATTCGGGAGAACTCTCTGTAAAACTTGACATGAATTTATATTCGTCGCAGTCACTTTCATCACGTTCGTCCCTCACGTTAGGAAGATCATCTTTGGCGCCGTATTGGTCATAAGCAGTAAATCCCTCACCGTCCTCCGTCAGCGAAAGACTATCATCTGGTGTGGAGACGAAATACTCGGCAGATTCATCATCCAGGAAGATGTATGGAAATTCGCCTTCCCCAGAAACATCTTGTACATACAGCGATTCGATCTTGGAGGGATCTGTTTCGGGTGAATAGTATATGTGTATGTCGTCATTGCCAGTTTGCATGTGTGTGTCATACGAGGCCTCCTCAGTCTGAAAATACTTTGAGGCAGGCTCCTTCGAAGATGACCTGGACATTTGTTTCGCCCTTCCACCAACACAACGAGAGTCCACAAAATCTTCACCGACTTCCACATTCTTCTTTCGGTTTTCAGTGCCTTGCGGCTGACTAGACGGGTAAACGGTCATACTCCTTGCTGCCATGTCTTCAGTGCCCTCTAGTGGCAATATCTTTACCCCCCCACTCCGAAGTCTGTTCTGGGCTGATTCTTTGCCAACATCCAACACTTCCTCTTCCTCCCTGGACTCCAGTTCAATATGCGTATTAACTGCGTCATCACCCAGTTGGGGTTTCTTCCCAAAATAGTTGGAATCTTCTGGTATAGGCTTTGACGTTTCTGCTGTGATTTTCATATTTAGGCCCATTATCGGTGGTGACACCACTTCTACTGATTCCATCTCAGCCTGGGAAAATGGGATGGCACCTGATTGGGTACGCTCCCTGAAGTCCTGTTTTGGTTTCACCGCCTCGTCGGATGTCAGCTGTACACTTTGACTCGCGTCTGTGGGCGTATTTTTGGCAGTGGCTGCGGTGGTTACGGTCATAGGATTGGGTGAAGAAGCAGCTGCACGGGCTTTCATAAATGAAATCATGTCCTTTCTGGAGTCAGGACTCTGGTGACATGATCTACGACCAGTTGATACAGGAAAGGTATTTGTAGAGGGGTGTAGAGGGGACTGGACTGGACTGGGGTGAAGCACATGACATCTCGTCAAGCTCCTTGCCGGCTCGGTAAACCTCATCTGGTTTCGTGTGGTTAGAACAGGAGATCTCGGGTCGGGTTTAGCCGGTATTTTCATATCTAAGGCACAGGAGAGTTAGCATTATTATTTCAAATCTTGCAAAACTTTATTGCGATCACTTTGCTTGTAACTAGCAGTGTTCTTTCCTACAGTACCTAGTCTTTCTCTTTGATGTTGAATCACCGTGCTCTGAGAATCATGTAGTCTCACTCTGTCCCCTTCCAGTAGAGCCCTGAATCAACAAAAACACAACACCTTATTAGTGAGGATCACCATCTACTGCCATCTACTGTATACCCACTGAATGAGTCCAGGACCGGACCACAGTTTAGCATAGAGCATAGAACAAGAATCACCAAAGAAATGTGTCAGATTCTCCAGAATTCTCCAGGACAGGCACCTTGGGGGCTGGACACTCAAATAAAAAGAAATTAACCATTTGATGCATGGCCCATGATATACTGAGTTAAAAAAATGTTACTAAGTGTTTTTATGTGTTTTTAGACGTAAAAATAAGAACTGATTTGGTTCTGTTTTTATACACCAAATTTTCTTTTTGAATGTTGACACAATTATTCTGCAGCTGCAAAGGCTGACCACTGTATGGCAGTGTTGGGTGATTCTCAGGCGTCCACTGTAGAGGCTTATATGCAACACTGCCATCAAAACCTATTCTTTATCATAGAAAATGACATTTTCATAGCTGTCCACTGTAGTGACCGTCATGCATGAATACATTTTTTATCTAACATTATTATTGGATGTGTATTTCGGAATCAGTTGTGAGCCGGATTGTTGATTATCATCATGAAAACAAATGAATATTCTGTGATATAGATCTTTATAGTACGTAGCTTTTTTCTGTCATGCTTCTGCAAAAAAAAGTAAGTAAAGTACCAAATTAGCTGCTCTAATCCTGCCTTTGAAATGACTGGCCCTTTAAATGACCGCTGAGTTGTCCACACTGCCCATTTATTCCCCTTTAAAAAGCTTGCCAGCCAGGAAACACGTCATGGACATTACAAACACTGCTTTCACTATTCAAAGTAAAAAAAAAAAAAAAAAAAAAAACAGGCCGCCGGCTGCCAGGAAAAAGCTGAGGCGGGAAGAGAGCGACTTCCTTGGAATAATTTATTCCATTATAGTTTTTAGCAACTGTTTGGAGGTTTAGACAAATGTTCTAACAAGTTGACTGCAGAGAGAATATAAGTGAAGAACGACAAAAATAAACACGCAGTTAATGAAACAGGTAATCAATCACCTGTAGGCAGCAACCTCCATGCCCAGATCCATCTTGTTTCGTAGAAGGTGCCGATGCTCTTCAACCTTTTCGGCTAAAATGTCGGCGATTAAGTCCCTCTCCTGCTGCAGCTCCGCGATTATCCCCTAGGAGTGAAAGAACAGCGAACCAACAAGTTTTCAGCCCCAATCTTTTCCTGTTGCGTTACTACACGTGCTAGTACTATTATACCTCAGGGATTTCTTGTAAGTATCGAGAGTTGGCCATCCAAAGAAATGAGCAGAGCACAGGAGAGGTGTAGCAAAGTGTGCAGGAATGATGACATGGGTGGAGTAGAGAATTTTGGTAATTTTGGTTCAGGGGCCGCATACGACGAATTAGATGTGAAGTGGGTGAAATCACGTGTTTTCCCCCTTTGTTTTCATGCAAATAATTAAAAGTGTATTAGATATTTATCATTATCATTATTATTATTATTAAAATTATTAGTATGTTTTTAATTTTTAATGAAATACAAATGTACAAAAAATATCCTAAACTTGATGATTGATGATTTTTGTGTATTCTTTTATTTTCAATTTTCAAATTTTTTTAATCAAGCGGGCCGTAAATGAACACCCTGGCGGACCGCTTTTAGACCCGCAGCCCGTATGTTTGACACCACTGATATAGAGACGTAGCGCTGTACACAAGACTATCGCTCTGTGACGTGAAAAGGGAACATTTGGTCCAGTGGAAGTGGCTGCAAATCATTTCGACCAATCAGAGCAAGTCTTATACATCACTTCCATTCGTCTCACCTGGTATTCGACCAAATCCCTCTGGGACTTCTCCTGCATCGCCATCAGCTGCTCCTCCAGAAGCATCTGTTTTTCCGCCTCTGTGTTCAATTGTTCAATCAGCGACGCGTACGTTATCTTTTCCGCCTGCAAGACACTTCGCAAAGCCTGGTCCTCTTCCAAGCCCTGGTCCAGTTCATTCATCCTCCGCTGGTACATGTCAAAGTTCTTTATCCAGCCCTCGAACTTACTGCGGACGCACTCTTGCACCTCTCCCTTGAAGTCCCCCGGGGCCCCGCGGTAGTTCTTTGAGATGTTGACGGTGACTTCGACGTCCAGATGATGCCAGGCCTCCTGAATGCATCGCCTGTGCGCGTCCTCCATAGATGTGTACTCACCTTGGAGCTGCAGTAAACGCCGCTGCAGCTCACTGTTGGTCCTGTGGGAAAGCCGAAGACCCTTTCCTTGTCCCCGCAGCTGGCCGCTCACGTTCCGCTGGACCTCGCTGTGGTCGCTGCACGCGCTTTGGACCCTCTGCAGCTCCCTCCTCAGCCCTTCCCTCTCCATCTCAGCCTGGGACTTCTCGAAACGCAGCTGCTCCAGCCTCCCCCTGAGGTCTCGCATCTCATCCACGTACTGGGCCGCCCGCTCCTGCCTCATGGTGCTGACCTGTGCCACGAGCCGCGCGTTCTCTCGCTCCAGCTGCTGCGTTCTTAGCAGATACTGGGTCAGCCTGTTGTTCAGCTCCTGCAACTGCTGCCTTTCGACTGCAGAGGGTCCCTTGGAATGCAGCATTGTGTCAACTTGTGAATATTAGTAATTTTTAATGGTCCAGTCTGGGTTTTTTTTTTTTCCTCATTTAGGGCACGTTCTTCTGCTGATGTTCTTTCTTCGGCGCTTCTGGAGGCAAACGGGTCAGCGTCAGTGTTCTTTATACCAGAGGAGAGTGGAGATGAGGGCGTGTCCTGCGCCTGGCCAAAAGTTTCGCAATGATACTAAACACAGATGGGGGAAAAAAAAGAAAACAAAACAAAAACAACAACAACAAAAACGTGGTTATATTTGTAGCCCAACTATGAGTAATATATATATATATAATATATGTATATATATATACATATATATGTGTATATATGTATATATATGTATATATGTATATATATATGTATATATATGTATATAT